ACACACGTACACAGGCACACACGTACACACGTACACACGCACACACGTACACATGTATACATGTATACACACGTACACAGGCACACACGTACACATGTATACATGTATACACACGCACACACGCACACGCACACGCAAACGCACACGCACACGCACACGCACACGCACACGCACACACACCAGGGCGGCCCCGTGCGCAACACCAAGAGGCAGGCCGGGCGGCCGTGGCTCGACGCGCCCCCGGCCCTCCGGGCCACACCCACGCCCGGCGGGGCAGAGCACCAGGCGGGGCGGCCACACGCCGAAGCTCGGCGGTCCCCCGCGTCCAGGGCACGCCGGCCGCCGCACCTCTCACATCCGGCCCGGCAGAGACGGCCCCCGGCTTGGCGGCGCCCGGCGGAAGGGGCCCCGCCCCGGGCCCCGGGCGACCCCCGGCAAAGAGGCAGCGCCGCGGCCCCCTGCACCGGCACGCGCCACAGCATACGGCCGCCCGCCTCCTCGGCCGGGGCTCCTGCCAGCCGGTCCGGGCGGCCACACGCCCGCGGCATGCACGTTTGCGGAATGCACGCCCAATGCCACAGAAAGAGGGCCGCCCGGGGCGGGCGGGGAGAGAAATCGAAGGACCCCGCGAGGGCGCCCCGGCGCTGCGGACCATCCCCGGCCCACAGCCAGCCGGGCACCATGCCGGCCAGGGCTTCTTTTTGCATCGACACCGGAGCCCGGCCGGCCCCGACGCCGGGGACCAGCTTGCCGTCGGCCTGGGGACCGCTCCATCCGGAGGCGGCTTCCGGCCGGGGGCGTCCCGCCAGCCGCGGCGCCGTCTTATGCCCGCCGGCGGTGAAGCCCACAACAAGCCGGCCCCATAGCTCAGTTGGTTAGAGCGTCGTGCTAATAACGCGAAGGTCGTCAGTTCGATCCTGGCTGGGGCCACACTGCATTTTGCCCCCCTCCCGCCCGCCGGAGGAGACGAGGGGCCAAGGGGCACTGCTCTGTGCGAAGTCCGACGCGCCATGGGGGGGGGGGGGGCCTCGCCACTATTTTTTTCCAGCCACCCGCGGCCGGCCCCGGCCCCGGCCCTAGGATGGCCCGGCCGCCGGGAGGGCCCGCTCGCCGCGGCGATCCGTGCCGCCCAACCGAGAGAGCGTCTCGCCGGAGAGGCGCTCTCCCAGCGGCCCAGCACCCGGGCAGAGAGGCACGCCGAGGGCGGCGCGCGCTGCCCCAACAGGCCCGCGGGCGATCCGTTGAAAGGCCCCCCTCGCCGGGACCCAGCCCACCGAAGCGCGTCGATGGTTTAGTGGTAGAATTGCCGCCTGCCACGCGGTAGACCCGGGTTCGATTCCCGGTCGACGCACTCCCCCGCTCGTT